GACTCAAGAATTAAAGCATTGCTCTATATTAGTTTCTGTCGCCATAGTAATAAATGACCACACAATTAGAGGCTTAAACAACACAGGTTGAATACAGAAGACAGACTGGAAGTCTGGCATGGGATCTCAGTGGGCTAAAATCAAGGTGTTGCCAAGTACTGGATACCCCTCCAGTGGGTTCCAATCTCCTGCTCAGTGATATGACACAAGGCAAGAAGAAAGACTGAGAGTCAGAGTTAAAGAGACAGAGATACAGGGACCCAGCATGGCCAGTGCTGGAGCAGTCAGAGGCTTGAACAAGGAAAGGCCCTGAATACCCACAGCTGTAATATTTACTGGTGACATCATAGTTAGATTGAGGTGGAGGGGCTAGTGTTGCTATGGATATGTAGCATGCAAGGCTTGTAAAGAAAGAGACAAAGCATTCTTGAATTAGGAACAGAACAGAACAAACTATAGGTTGTGGTTAATAATTAACCTTGTCTTTTTAGTAAAGAAGGTTTTAACTTTGGGAATGGAATTTGGGTGAGAGTCACTGCTCACAGCCTGCTTTGGGCATAATAAATAAGTGGACCCCTACAGTCAAGGCTGTGTTCTTTTCTGATGGCTCTAGAGTAGAATTCATGTCCTTCCCTTTTCCATCTTCTACAGGACCCCCACCTTTCCTCACTCATGACCCCTTTCCTCCATCTTCAAAGCCAGCAGCATTGCTTCTCTCTAAAGATTCCAATGTCCCAACCATTGTGCAGGGGTCTGTGTTCCCTGTCTCTCCCAAATTAAAAGGTCCTGTGCTTATTTTGTATTCACCCAGAGGGGATGTTTATATCATTTTAAGGTCATTTGAGTAACAGTCGTAATATTACCTCCAGCTTTAATTTTCCTCTGCTATGTAGTCTAGCAGATTCCTAGAGTTAGGATGTTGGTATTTAGGAGAAGGCATTATTCTGCTTACCATAAGTTTCTTTATGGTGCCTAGGAAAAAATAGTCCTCACCCCTGCCCCAGCCTTATGTTTAGTATCTCATTTAATGAACCTTCTACCACTTGCTGTTATGTAATTATCTGGTCAGTACAATTAATACTTGCTGGGAACAACAGACGCTACAGTTTAACTTTCTGTTATCAATAAATAGCACCTAGTCACAGGTGCTACTGCTCTGGTAGCTCCTTGTGGTCAGGCACCACATTGTTTTATTTCTGTAACTCTTGGAACTTAGCTCACTGACTGCCACCTAATCAGCATATAGATAATGTAGCTGAATAATCGTGATGGTTGATTATGTTCATGTTTAATTAACAAAACCAAAGGGATACTCTTTTTTTAATGATCATTTTGCACAGAGCAGCTAATAGAATGATTCAGGTTCTTCTCCCCTTGCATTTACCAGTTGCTACTTATCATGAGTATTTAATGTCATTCTCAAATAACCAAAGCTATTAGTGCTTGAGTCCTACCTCCTTAAGGTCCACCTTGTATTTTATGCTTTGTATTTTGGAGAATTAGCCATCAGTAAATGTTAGGCACTATGTCCTGTTGGTGAGGGTAGCAATAGTTTCTTAAATGGTTATGTACTATTTTTAATATTAAGACTATCATGGGTTAGACACTACATTGGAATTTGTTTATACCCACATGTGCACCCTTGCTAATTTAATCTTAATGAAAACTTTCTAATAAATTCTACAACCATATCTAGGAAGTGACAGCCAAAATTCCAAAGCAAAGAAGCAGAAGAATAACAGTGATCTTTTATCACATCACTTTGGTGTCCATTGATCAAATAACAATACAGATATTTCTTAATCTCTGACCAAAACTAAAAGTTAAACAAATGTATTGCTGTTTTAATTAAGAGGAAAACAGTTTACAAGGTCAACTTATACTTCTATACTTAAACTGCATCTCATTCTGCAAACTGTTTTCCACTTGTATGTCAGAGCCTTCAACTTGCAATGATCCTCCTACCTCAGCCTCCCCAATCCTGGTTTTTCGGGTATGTGCCACCACAGTGGGTGAAACTGGAGATTTTAGAGGGAAAAAATTGTTATTTTGCATTTTTATTTCTTCAGATTCAGGAGCTTAGTAGGGAGTGACTGCCCCTCCTGTTTCTAAGAACGGGGCGGCATTTCATGTCACCTGAGGAAGTTCATTGCCCTTACCTTCATCAGGACTCAGGAGCTACCAGGAAGACACCAGCCCACCTGGAGAGGAGCTCTGCATCTGCATTTATCGCAGGGGAAGTTCCTTCCCTACGCAGTCTCCCTGCTGCTCTTCAGGTTTCCCTCAGGGTTTTCAGAATTGTGCGAGCTGCCTCCAGATGCTGGGCCTCATTCTTGAACTCCACTGCCTCAGCCTTCCAAGTGCAGGATTGCAGGCCTGTGCCACGATGGCTGTGTAAGTCCTGACGTGGACCCAAAGCCTCCTAACCCAGCATCGGTAAAAGAACTAAAGAAGCAGAGTTTAAAATTTAAAAAGACAGTTTACTTGAAGGTGGAGGAAAGGGTGAAGAGAGAGAATAGGTAGCCTCTCTGGACAAGTAGGGAATATTCCAAATACTGTTTTCAGGTTTTTGGCATTTTTTTAAACAGGGTCTCACTACATGTTTAGGTTGGCCTTGAACTCACTCTTTAGCCCAAGGTGGCCGAACTTGCAGTTACTGAGGGTCCAGAGAGCTGAATTACAAGTGTGCCGCCACCACACCCAGCACATGCTACATTTTCTAGCATCTCGGACCTATTTGAACATATACAGTGGTTCCTTGGTTCATGAACTTAATTCCTTTCAGGATTCTGGGGAAGATGGCTGCATCAGTGTTAGTGTTGGAAAGATGGCCACAGTCACGTTCCTCACCAAGTACAAAGTTTGCAAACCAAAATTTCTGTACAGTATTTGGTTTGTTTGACTTACCTTGAAACACATTTAAATAATTCAAATAAAAAACTCAGAATTCAAAATATAATATAAGCTCAGACACATATTGTAAAGGCCATTTTTTTTCTCAGATGGAATCCAAGCTTTTGTATTCTTAGTACATTTCTAAAGTGATAATGAGTCTCACATGTGAGGACTCCTGCTGAATGTATTCATAGTCCTAATTTTATATATCTACTTTGCCTATCAAGTACCAGCAGTTTACTGTTTATTTAACCCAGGCTTCATTGTCTTACCTCCTTAGGTATTTTATAAAGCTTGGCTATTTAATGAACATATACTGTCTTTATTATTCCAGTTCTATTTTATCTTGCTGTATTCTAGCTGAGACTTCTGTGCTTTCAACTTGGTTCAGTGCTGGCATCCTGGGGTTATTAGTCAAAGAAAAATGTTTGACACAAAACAAAACAAATTAGGAGTTAGGAATATGTCAGAATTTATGCAGGATGTCTATTCTGAAGACTAATGACTTAACATAGACTATTCATACTAGTGTTTTAAAATAAAAGCAACCATAAGAAAACAATGTATTTTATTTCTGTGACTCTTTCTTTTTTGTTTTTTTTGGGGGGGGGTTTTTTTTTTTTTGG